CTTTCCCAACTTAAAGAAAGACATGCCAATGAAAGTAAAAGAAACCTACAGAACACCAAATAGAGTGGACCACAAAAGAAAATCCCCTCACCACATAATAGTAAAAACCCCAAACATACAGAGTAAAGAAAGAATATTAAGAGCAGCAAAGGAAAAAGGCCAAGTAACAAACAAAGGCAAACCTATCAGAATCACACCTGAATTCTCCATGGAAACTCTGAAAGCCAGAAGGTCCTGGATAGATATTCTACCAACACTAAGAGACAATGGATGCCAGCCCAGACTGCTATACCCAGCAAAGCTTTCAATCACTATAGATGGAGAAAACAAGATATGCCATGACGAAACCAAATTTAAACAAATGTATCCACTAACCCAGACCTACAGAAAGTTCTGGAAGGAAAACCCTAACCCAAGGGAATTAACTACCACCAGAAAAACATAGGCAATAGAAAATCCCACCTTACCAACAGCCAAAAGAAAAGAGGTGGAAATCCACATATAATTCCACCACCATCAACTATTGCAAAACACACAAGAATGAGCAATCAATGGTCATTAATATCCCTCAATATTAATGGTCTTAACTCTCCCATAAAGAGACACAGGCTAACAGAATAGATTCAAAGACAGAACCCATCCTTCTGCTGCATACAAGAAACACACCTCAGCTTCAAAGACAGACATTACCTCAGAGTTAAGGGTTGGAAAAAGATTTTCCAATCAAATGGACCCAAGAACAAGCAGGGGTAGCAATCCTAATATCTAACAAATTAGAATTTAAAATAAAATCAATCAAAAGTGGTGAAGGAGGTCACTTCATACTCATCACTGGAGAAAACCACCAAGATGAAGTTTCAATGTTGAACATCTATGCCCCAAATAGAAAGCTATCCACGTTTGTAAAAGAAACATCACTAAAACTCAAATCACATATAAAGCCCCACACACTTATAGTGGGAGACTTCAACATGCTGCCCTCACCTCTAGACAGGACTACCAGACAGAAACTTAACAAAGAAGCAAAGGAACTAATAGAAGTTATGACCCAATTGGGATTAACAGACATCTATAGAACATTCCACCCAAATAAAAAAGAATATACTTTCTTCTCACCACCCCATGGAACCTTCTCAAAATTGACCACATACTTGGCAACATATCAAACCTCAACAAGTACAAAAAAATTAGAATAACTCTGTTCACTTTATCAGACCACCATGTGTTAAAATTAGAATTCAACAACAACACAAATTGCAGAAACCTTACAAACTCATGGAAGTTGAATAATGCACAACTGCACCATACCTGGGTCAATGAAAACATAAAAAAGAAATATATATATTTCATTGTAGGCATATATTAACAGAATTAAAAAGCCGTGAAAGTTAATTTGAAGAACTAAACCATGACCAAATACAATTTCCGTACCACACCTTTCACAATCACATCCATAGGAGAATTTCTAGTGGGCAGTGCAGATGTAAAGATGTTCTAGAAAAAAATGTGACACCACCTGTACCTTGACTTTTTGAGTGAGTGCATGTGTCTCTGCTGCTGACATCAGACTTTAGACAGAGGCTTTCTGGAATCCTCCAGGTCTTCAGTACCACACTGGGACCTCTGAGGCCTCCATGCTTGTTCTCAATCTCTCCACCATGTAGGCAAACACAGTTGACTATCCAGCCCTTATCAGGTAAGCCAATTTAATAAATTCCCTTTTAATATATTAAATACACACATATATCTATCAGTTGACCTTTTTGTGCTAAGGAACCCTGCTAATATGGGTAGCTTCAGCCATCTAATGCTATCACACAGAAAAAATGATTTTGCTTTATGACATACACATAACCACCAAGACAGATGATGTGCTCTGGTTTCCTAACACTTTATAGGTAGTCACAACCTCCAGAGATGAACAACAATAGCCTTTAAAAGAGAAGCTATCAAATTCAATCCAGACATAGGAATCCCTTAAAAGGAAAGTATTTATTAATTTAATCTTAGGTAGATACTTCCTTCTAGCAGGATGTGGCAGCATACACATATAATCACAGCATTCAGGAGGACTGTGAATTTGAAGCCAACAACTAAAATGATGAAGAAATAAAGATAAAGCCAGATTCTGCAGGAATTTTCCAGGGAAGTGTTAATTATTTGCTCTTTCCATCACTTACTGACTCACCTTCAAGGACTAATTGAAGTTGTCAAAGCTACTGTTTTTAAATCTCTGCAGACTTCTCCTGATCTACATTCATTCCCAGAACATCATTGTATTGTACTTAGTTAATAATCTGAAAAGTGCTATGGAATTCCATGTCTGTTAACACTAGCTGATTAGCTCTATAAACACAGCTCATGTGTCATTTGTCTTCATATGTTTTGAGTTAGAGTGTGTCTAGCTTCGTGTAACAAGAACAAAAGCTAACATAAGCAATAAAGAAATATCTGGGGTCACTTAATGGCAAGTCTCAAAGTAGAATATTGTAAAAATTCTGATGTGCTGTGGTCATCCTGTCTCAGGTTCCCTACTGGGCCTTTTCCTTTTTCCCATTTCTAAGATGTAAACGCCAACAGAAGTAATGGACTTCAGATACATATACAGCAATTTCCAGAAGGAAAGAGAAGTATTTTTCTCTAATGCTTTCCTTAGCCTGAAACTGTCTCAGAAGCCAACTTTCTCAACATCAAGAGCCATTTAAGACCTGGAAACTGACAAGGTGAATGAGGTCACCGTGCCAGGATTGGATCAATCAGTTCCCCAAACTACATGTCTTTAATGTTACAGAGGACTGCAGGGAAGAAAGACCACAACATCTTCTCCTTAATTCCAGAGGTCATCATTCAGACTAACATACAAATAGCACAAAAAGAATGTTGAATGAGGGCTGTGATCCACTCCACTAGCTGGTACATCTCTTTAGAGTGATTGTATTTATAATTATCCCTGTTTTCTTGACTCACTATCTAATTGTGTACTATCTACTATTATTTGATAATTTTTGTCTTAGTCATGTTTTAACAATCAGATAACTACCTAGGGCAGGATCTTGGGCAAGTAAATATTAATTTATTAAATGAATAGTCCTTTTGTGGTGTCCACTCATGTGTGGAGACCAGAAATGGATGCATAGGAAATGTTATGGGTTACTTGTGAGTGCTACTATCTAGTGAAGCATAAGTAGGTGTTTCTTTGATAGAAAATCAATTCTAAATGGGAAAGAAAAACCTTTTGTGTTTAATTTAAGTAAAGCACTATGGAACTCCATTTAAATAAGTTGGAGCCTACAAGAAATCAATTACCAGATAAGACAATCTCAACGCTTACTAAATTCTTTTCTCTGTATCTGGCACAGTGTGTCTGTGTAACAGATACAGATGCTTTCTCTCCCATCTTTTGGAGGAAATCTTGAGTGGGTTATCACATGTAAATTACCAGAAAGATGAGTGACATTGGATTTTTGTCACAGCCATTGAACACTAAAGCATCTACAATGAAGGAGCAAAAAAAAAAATAAAACAACAAAAGAAAAGAATGCCCAATTGCCAATTGGTAATAATAATTGAAGAACTTCATGTTATTAGATATTATTCACATTATCATATTAAAATTCCATTTTATCTTCTCAGTTCAAGGAAATAAGTTCTATTGTAGATACCATTTTATTGTGGAGAAAATTAAGACTGAGTAAAGTAAAATAACTTTCCTAGGATCCCTCTGTTCATAAATGGGGGTAGCAGGATTTAGATTCAGGAAGGCTGTCTTCAGAGCCAGATTTCTTGCTGGATGCTCAAGAAGGTCCCATGTTCAAGGTTAAATATGAGAAGCAAGGGTAGTGCATCTTTGAGAAGGCAGACTGAAAAGCCAACATATCAGACAAATTGTTCAGGGAGCAAGAAAGGAAATAAATTAGAGAGAAGATGAATCAGGACTGGAACATGAATGATGCAACATATTCGAATATAGTTCTCTTTCTTTGAAGGCAAGATGTGAGGGCTGCTTGAGGAGGTTGGTCCTAATGGCTTAAAGATGCTGTCTAGGGCTGGGCAGTGTCTGACTTCATATAACTTACAGTCTAGCTGAGAGGAGAAGAATTATATGTGGGAAAGGTTAGTAAATTATATAGGAAAGCAGATACACCAGGGCAACTGAAAGAGCACTGTGGGTTAGACAGAGATCACATGAGAGGTCTTTTTCTCTGTGGTCATCAGTCTGTGTTTTACAGAATCTGGCAAACTGAGAATTGCTTCCCTGTGAAACAGAAGTTCTGTGTGCCAGGGGATAGCTATCTCTGCGGTCTACAGAATTATATTTATGAGTAGTGCTTTGAGAAGACCCGTAGAGCATCTCTGACTTGCCAAGATGAAGCAAACACAGTGATTCTGTTTGTACTGTTACCTGATGCTGGCTGTGGGATGCTGTTCTTGTGGGCCTCCTGTGAGGAGACTTGATTCCTTACTGTATTTGGCTATGACAGCGGTCCTGTGGGTGGCTTCAGTATTAAGTTTGGAACAGAGGAAGTGTTGCAACGCATGCCAAGAATTGAGTTTTATTTTTACAAGCTGCTTTTTATGGAATTGAATCTCTGTGACCTTCCTTGGTTACAAGAGACTCACATGTGGCAATTGGAGTAAGGGGGCTTGCCTATTCTTCAATGACAGGTAGATACTCTCTTGACTATCCTTAAGACAGAGAACTTCTTTTGGGGAGCTTTTTTGAAATCTCATGCATGATTCATTTTGGCTTTTGTTCCTACCACTATGTTTCAGCATCACAATCAGCCGTGGGGCTGAGGTAGATAGCTTTGCTTTAGGAGGGACGATGTCTATTTTGTTCCTTCACACCCAGTGTCCTTTTCCTTCTTGTGAACCCAGACTAGGGCAGTTCAAATCTAAAAAATAGGAAGTGGGGCTGGTGGAGCAAATCAGGGTTACCACAAGCTTTCTTTGTGTCGTTGAGTAAAGTATTTGATCATTTTCTGCTTCAGAATCTCCTTGGTAACATAACTCAAGATCAACGCATCCTTCAGAAGACCTGGCAAAGGAAATGCTGTACTCCTTAGCCTATAAAATAATGGAGACGGTTAGAGGTAAGGACAGAAGCCCCGTAGCACCAGTGCCTTCTATTGCCAATTCCCTCAACTCCTGATGGGCTTTTGTCACTAGGGCAGTCATTTGGAGAAGTTGGGAGCACTGGTGGCTGAAAAGTAAAGAACAAAGAATTCTCGATCCAAGGAGTTCACAGGCAAAGCTGACCCACTGTGTGTGTGAATAGAAATGTGGTATCTGTTTCCTCAACTGTAGCAGGGAACACTTGGTGCAGTTCCAGGAAGGCTATAGGCAAGATCAGCATGTGAGTGTTAGTGACAGACAGAGAAAGCATGAAGAAGTAGCATTGCTGTGTCTATTTTTTCTTTCCTCCACTCTGGCTGCTAGAATGGGAAGCGGTTCTCCTCATGAGACTTTTCACTGTGAAGCTGTCTGCTTAGCTACTCTTTGGAAGCATGACAAAGCACTGCGTTTATCAGTTACCTGCCAGAGCAATCCACTCAGAGCTGCTATCTGGTTGACTGTGTCCTCCTTTGAAGTGTGCTTTTAGTTAAGTGATTGATATATTTGATTCTGACTTTGCTCAACACTAGGTATTAACTCATGTTCAGTCTTGTGAGCTGCCAGTAGGTGCTCTAAGGGAAGGAGACTAAAGCAACTTTGGAGGGAGGGCTTTTGAGTGAAAGACCGTATCTCAGTGATTTAGATGACTATCCTAGCCAAAGCGAATGAAATGGGGTGTGTGTCCAAAGTGTCAGGAGAGGCCATTCCATGTCTTCTTTTAAAGGCACAGACTTTTCATATTATAGCCAAGATACTTTAGATTGCTCTTAAAAGTTTAAAAATAGAACTTCAAAGATGGTTGTGTCCTGAGTCTAAATGTCACATTTTTAAATGAAGTCAAAGATGTGTATGGAATTTTGGTTATATGTGTGTACATAGAGTGATGGACGAATTGGTAGATATCTACCTTCCAGCAGAGGAGGCATGTGAGTGGGAGAATACACATGATGCTCCCAAGACTGATCAGAATAGAAGGCCTGTTCTCTGCTTTTAAAACAGAACCCCCAGAAAACTCAAGGTGTCAAGGTACAAACAGATAGGGCCAAAGATAGTGCCAAAAAGCAAGAATCAGTAGAGCAATGGTGCCAAAGATGAAACCAAGTCAGCAAGCCTTGACATGAACAAGTCTTCAGTATCTGTGACTTTAAAGTCAATCATGCCTCTGGAGGAAGCTCTTAGCCTATTCCTAGTCCTGCATTTTATCTTGAAAGAGAAATACTGATGAAGGATTGAAGCCAGTGTCATTTATTGTGCTATGGTCCAAGAGATTCAAGCATCTTTGCTAATAGGGAAACCTAATGTGCCCTGGGTCCTATGACCCAGGTTTCTCTAGAGTCCGTTGGCAAGTTTTGAGCATTCTCTTTTCTCCATGCTCTGTTCTAAGAATGCCCCACAACTGGCATGAGGCCAGCTGGAATAGCAAGCGCCTTCTCTGCAGCCTGTGTGGCTTTAGAGTGATTTTCCATGGACTTACTTTACTTCACTGCAACTATGAGTCCAGAGAGGGAAATAGAAGACACTTGGCTAAGTGACCTTTTAGCCTCGAGCCCTTCATATCATTTTCATTGCTGGGATTGAAGACTGATATTGGAGTTGGATTTTTATGTAATAGTAATATACCTTTTATGTTTTTTCTCTGCATATATCTTGGAATTATTAAAGATGGAGTTTGGGGGAGCAGTATTCATGGATTTGGGATTTTGCACCTTGGCCAAAGGTAGTTTTCTCCATGCCTTCTTGTCATATCATGATTTTTGACCAATAGAAGATGAAAAGGTAGAACAAGGAATCTATAAACACAGACATGCACACATGCATGGATAAACAGACAACGCTACACTCAGAGGAGGATACTGATTGGAGAATACGGTAAGATAAGTAGAATCTTCATTTTACTAGTAGACACACAAGTCCTAGGCTTGTGGAAGTTGGTCTCTAGTATCTGAAGCAAAGCTGGCTATCTTGCTTTAGTGGCAAAGGAGTGGACAGAATAGTGATTCTGTGACTGGAATGCTGGCTGGCACATCTTGGTCAAATGACTTCTCTCCAAGTTTCGTTTTCTTCTTCTGTCATATAGAGGGTTTAACTATGACCACTGCACCCTACTGCATGTAACACTGTCCAGTATTAATTGTCAAGAATGTTTCCAAAGGACCAGCATGTGCTTTGTGATATTTTATGTTCTAACAAATAAAGCTTGCCTGGTGATCAGAGGGCTGGCAGTGGTGGCACACACCTTTAATCTCAGCATTCTGGAGGCAGACACACATGGATCTCTGTGAGTCTGTGCCCAGTCTGGTTTACAGACAGAGTTCCAGGACAGCCAAGGCTGTTACATGGAGAAATCTTGTCTCGAAAAAACAAACAAACAAACAAAAACCCAAAACCAACCAAACAAACAAACAAACAAACCAACAAACACAACAAAAAGTAGCCAAACATAATCTGCTAAATTGACTCACTTAGCCAAGATGGCAGACAATTTGCTATTGTCTGCTAGCGAAGAGCTCTGCTAGACCCCTCAGTGAGGGTCCTGATTTCCATGCATTTGCTTGATTTGGGGTTCTTCCAACATAGTGCTTAGGATACGAATCCATATCCCTAAAAAGAATCTGAAGAAGACAGACCTCTACACTATACTCGTTGCGGTCCTCTAGGTCCAAAGTCCTGTGGCCACATCTTAGATAAATGGAGGAGAGGAGGGAGTGACAGTGACTTTGGATACAGGCATGCATTGTTTGTCTATGGCCACCAAGCCTTCAAGCCACTTGTTTCTTGTGCTCACGTAGAGATGTTTATGAATTATTCCTTGAATCAACGCAGGCATGATCTTTAAATAGCCCTTGATGGTGTCAAGTAACCTTTTCCAAGGTGTTGTCTCTCTCACTCTGCAAAATACCAACATTTCACATTAATATATAAAGAGCTCAGGCCTTGGTGCATTGATGATTTAGGTTCCATGTGCATAGTTTTCACAAGAGGTCTGTTCAATCTAAAAATGCTCTTCGATTTGCTCACCTCCCTCTCTTCCCTGTACACAAACAACTTTGTTTGTTTTTAAGTTTGCATTGACAATGAATGGACTTTTTATAAGCCACTGGAGAGCCATTGTATTTTACCTAGAAGTGAACATAACTTGAGTAAATGAATAAAGAGCTTTATTTGAACAAGGAAAGAGTCCACTTGATGATTGAAAGTACCTGACTTTTTATACCTTATAAAATGAATCATCTTCCCTTTCTGCTCCCCCTTTAAAATTGTGTGCTCTAATTGTTGTCTTTTCCTACCCTCTATTTTATATCCGCAGTTTCCAAATTAATACAAGGAATCCCAGTAAGATCTTAAAAATAGGCCTGCATTACTTTAAAAAAATGACAATTTTCAATTAATTATAAATGACTCCATTTCCAAATGAACAGAGAAACCTACTGTGAATACTGAGCCTAATACTTATCTTCTCTAATTGCATGAGCTGGAATGAAATAAATCTGGGGGAATATGTAATTGGCATGCTTGTATTGAGGTTACTGTTTTAGCCTATTTAGGCTTCCCAGGAAATGCACCGACTTCTCCACACCTCCCCAAAGCTTCTCGTTTCTTTTACATCAAGTGATTTAGGGAAAGAAATAAACAGATCACCCATGGGGCACTCATGGGTGGACAGAAGGAAGGGATGACGGTCACAGTCCCTTAGTGTTCTCTGCAGATGTGTGTGCAGATTAAATTGTGCTTTCAAATGTACCATGTTGCTGATTATCCTAGAGACAGGGGCATGAGAACACTCGCGGCATTCTGTCATAACCATAACTTGTCGCTTTCTTCTTTCTTCATTTGGTTAAATCTCTTTTATTGCTCTGGATCTCTGTCCACCCCTGATTTCTGCCCAATGGTGTTATTGGTGAAGTCCTTACAGAGTAGCTAGTTGGCCAATGCATGTCATCTGTGGTGTCTTCTGACTCTACAATGTGGATGTCTTTATTCTTCCTTCACAAGAGAGGAAACTAAAGTGTAGATGGGGTGATCCTTTCTGTAGAGTCATACAAATTACTTCTGAGGTCAGCCCTGAGGTTCACTTTTCACAACACATACTTTATTGCCTTACATGGAAGGAAAAAAAGGGTACCAGCACCCTTCTGTGGGTCACTCCTCTAAGGAAGACACATTGGAGGCAATTCAATAGGTTTCTGGTATGGGATTTGGGGACAGCAGAGAAAGGCTACATCTGCCTTTGTCTAACTGTGTCACCTTGGGAAAGTGTATTGTTTCATTTGGCATGACCTTTGCTTTCTCGTGTACAAAATGATGATGATGATGATGATGATGATGATGATGATGATATGAGCCTCATGGAGAAGCATAGTGCAGTGGTCAGGATTGTGACCTGTTTGGCAATAGAAAGAAATGAAGTTCTAATATGACCTATGGGTAACAGTTAAAAACACTAAGTGAAAGAAGCCAGTCACAGAAAATCACATATTTCAGAAACTTGCTCATACAGAATGACCCCAAAGGCAAGTCAAAAAGACAAAAAGCCAAGTAGTGACTGCGTAGACCTGGGAATGCAGAGACCTCCTGTCCTGGCTCTATGATCCTCACTGTGTCACCTGAACTGAAGTTCAGAGGCACACCGGGGCTCTGTGCAGGCAGTGCAGGGCTGCTCTTTGCACTGGGACAGGCAGACAGTCTTCCGCTCTAGAAAGAGATGCTAAAAGCAGCCTCCTGTTTTCCATATATCTGTTCCTCAGTGTGGACTTGTACTTGGATCCTGTCTTCCATTCTTGCTTGGCTTCTGGTAAATCTAAAGCCTACATCTTTCCCAAGAAAAATGATCATGTTTTTAGTTCAGGCCACAACATTTCATCGTCCCTTCCGCTTCCGTCATGTACTGAAGTAATATGTTCCTAATCATTGAGCATTGTTTCTCAAAACCTATTGGGAACAGGGGGCGGCAGAACCTTTAGTTCTACAAAAATACAAA